ATTTTTACATTGAATACTTTAGAGAAATACTTTATGTAAATTTTATTAACTATAAACTGAAATAAAGATGTTATGGACTTCATTCAAACTGAAACCACTCCATTAAGTATAAACTGAAACCACTTTATTATTAAGTATAAACTGAAACCACTTTTTTAAGTATAAACTGAAAGCACTTTATTAACTATAAACTCAAAGCCACTTTATTAACTATAAAATTAAACCAATTTATTAACTATAAGCTCAAGCCACTTTATTAACTATAAATTCAACCCATTTTATTAACTACAAACTCAAACCAGATTATTAACTATAAACTCAAGCCACTTTATTAACTATAAACTCAAAGCCACTTTATTAACTATAAACTTAAACCTGTTTATTAACTATAAGCTCAAGCCACTTTATTAACTATATAAACTCAACCCACTTTACTAACTACAAACTCAAACCAGTTTATTAACTATAAACTCAAGCCACTTTATTAACTATATACTCAAAGCCACTTTATTAAACCTGTTCAGGTCATCTTTTAGTAGTTGCAGGAACCAGGTCCACGATGAGTTGTTCTCAATTTCAACGATATAGCCCATGCAATCAGGTACATATGATTGTTGGCATCCGTGCCAACGGTTGTCAAGATTTCCCCCTTCAATTGACCTTTCAAGAAGCATCCATCAATCCCAATCATCTTTCTACACCCTTCTAAAAATCCTTTTTCACTACTCCAAAGCATAAGTAAATCCTCTGGAAAGCAGAAGACCCATCTGGAACAACTGTTACTGTTTTAATCACAACCGTACTGTAAGGAATTGACTTCAAACATTCCTCCGCATAATTCTTGATTCTCATAAACTGGTCCTTGAAAGCAGTCTTAGTTTTTTCTTGTATTCCCCTCAGTGCTCTAGCCACCATACTAAGAGAAACGTAGAGCTTATGTTGTGCTTTTATAAGATCTTTTAAATCAATGACACCTAAACAAGGATTTTCAAGCACTTCATCTTCATAAGTCTCCTCAATCCATTTCTGGGTAACAAGCCTCAACTTAAACTTCGTATGACATATGTGAGACGTATTCAAAACCTTGACTTGATACCATCAAAGCCTTTTGTCCCAACTAGCAGTACACCTAAAGGGGCAATTTGGGGCATACTTAAGACACACTCCTTTTGGCTCATTCTTGACAAACCTTATATCTTTTTTCTCATGAATAGCATATCTTATCATAACATGGGGTTATAAGATGCATATCTAGGCTTCTTCCTTTTTGATTTCACAACTCCATCTTCTGAGTCATGATTTGACAATAAGCTAGAGGAGTCATCTAAATCATATTTCATGCTAGTATGATCTAAATCAGTGGCAGTGTACTATTTTGTCTCCTTGTGGGGTCTTTTTCTGTAAGTGTCTTCATTGTCTTCATTGTCGGACCCTTCACCACCAGAACATATTGTGATTCATTTTCAGCATCAATCATCTTCCATTTCAGAAGAGACAACATCTTCACCACCCACATCCTCTTCAGCATCCATATCATCCTTTTCGGCAGAGAAAACATCTTCAGCTTCCATTTGAGCAGACACAACATGTTCAGAACCCTCACCCCGTTCTCTATCATTCTCCTCTTCAATTTCAGCCCTAATGACCCTCCCACTTTGTGCTTCTTTAGTAGGTAGTTCACGTAATGGCAGGATATTGACTAACTCAACTTCATCCAACCCATGCTCAACAAATATGTCACATTTTCCATAACATGTAGCCATACGAATTAAGTCCAAGGTGGATTCATCATTGAAAAGCTCGTGTAAATTTTGCATATGGTCATCACATTTCTTAAAATAAAGGCCGTTAATATTCTCATAGCTCCCTGCTTTGAGAAACTTCAACAAATGTGGGTATGAAATCAAATCCGAATCAATTGGTATATTGTATCCACTACCCCACCCTTGTACACACAATCAGGGTTGTTTACGAAATTCCCTCCATGGTGAATTATAAGTTTTACTTTGTCAAACATCTTGTAGGTCAATGAAATGGTTATTTTTCTTTGTAGTGAAATTTATCTCTGTAGAAATGTAAAAGTGAAGCAAAGCAATTAAAAACGTCGTTTACAAAATAGCGTGCAAGATGTACTAACCTTTATGAGGAAGAAGACAACAGCGTGCGTGCGAGCGTAGGGGCCATAGACCATGTGCGAACTTCACTTCATTTGGTACTCTCTGTTTCTCTGTTAGACTCCCTTGTGTTGTACGATTACAAACCATCGAATTAAGAAATAATGAGAATATGGTTAAATGACCATGTGTTTAGGGTCCTCAAGCTTACATGATAATAAGACATGTCGGATGCCAATTGAGCACTTGAGATACAAGCCGGTAATTAACCGGGCAAAACGACCATTTTCCCCGTTTTATTTTGCTCATGGGTTTAATTGGACGTTTTTTTGCGTTGGTGGCCTTAATTGACATTTTCCTTATAGTGTTGGGGGGGGGGGGGGGGGGGGGCTATCAGACACTTTTCCCAAATAAATATTAATAAGTGAAAATGATTGAATATCTAAACTATCCCTATAGCAACCACATAACCACGCGTTTTATTCTTTTATCTTCTACAGAGAATATTGTTCCAGAGTATAAATTCCATAGTACTAGGCTTCTCTCATCATCATTGTAATCATTCAAGTTTTATATACATGTGTGTGTATAATCACAAACACTAAAATCATAAGGGAATTAAATTGTGAAGGAGCCAGGAATGTTGGTGTTAGCTTGTTAGGTATTCAAAATAACTTTCCTCATATCTCTTGGTACGCACACTCTCCATTGCCAATTTCCGGTACGCCGTACTCTCAAATCTTTCAAGCAGAAAATATTGTCAAACAATTCCACTGCAATCCTTGTCATATCTGCCCATTGGGAGACCTCAATTTCTACCCTCAATCAATAAGAAACCCTGTAACAACAATCGCTTTAGGCTTAGCATCCTCTGTTTTACTCACAAAACTTGTATACTGACTACATTCATTATAGAAGGATTATTCTACACATTGAAACATACTATAACAACGAAAGTGTCGGTAGAAAATACTCGTAATAAGCAGTGAACCTCACTTTGAATTGGAGTGAAGAAGGAAAGGTTCATTAGACTTTAGGAAGATTTATTGCCAAAACTGACTGTCATTTAAATATGATGAATGTTGAGGCTGTGCTGGGTTACATAATAAGGGTGTAATGGGTATTAGAAAATAATTTTATTTACTATTGAAAATATGTGGCTTTGTTTAGTAAATACATGGCTGTATCAACTTTGTATATTGTAAACTGTAAATGATAAAATTTAAGAAAAATGGACAACATACTAAATTGACTTAACAAGTACTCCGTATTAATGAATATCAGGCTTAAGTAAGTGCTAATTTCAAACTCAAATAGGGGATCCATAGAGGCTTGACTGGATATATTGAGAAAAGCAAGCAACCTATTTTTATTAGCTTTAATAATAAATTATAAATAGAGATCGAGCCCATTTAGTAACATTAATTAATATTGACGGTATCGACTAAATATGTTTAAATAAATGATAATCTGATTGAAGTGACCACATTAGTTGAATCTACTACATACGGGAGGTCCGGGATGGACCCGGGCCGGGCCGGTTCCGGTTCCGGGCCGGGCCCGGGCGGGCTTTTTTTCGGGTTACATGGGCCCGGAACCGGCCCGGGTTGATACCGGGTCCGGGCCTAACCGGGCCGGGCCGGGCCGGGCCCGGTTCAATGTTTTTTTTTTTTTTTTTTTTTTGACTTTCTTGTTATCTCCCTACCCCCCCCCCCCACCCCCACGCCCCAAACCTCCCTAAAACACCCAGCCCTACCCTAGGAAAAGAAAAAAAATTGAAAAAACCAAAAAAAAAAAAAAAAAATGAACCGGGCCCGGCCCGAACCGCCCGGGCCGGTTCAACAAAAACAGGGCCCGGAACCGGCCCGCCCGACCCGCCAAAACGGGCTAAAAGCCCGGAACCGGCCAACCGGGCCCGGTCCGGTCCGGGCCCGCACAGTAGCGGGCCGGTCCGGTTCCGGGCCGGTTCGGCCCGGCCCAGTCCATCCCTACGGGAGGAGGGTTAAAGTATATTTATTTAATAAAGTAAAGATAAATTATATGAAAAAAGTTAAATAACCATCTTTAGCAAATTGAACTAATTCAGAAAAAAATTACTTCTACCTTACTTAATTTTTATTCTTACATATAATCTAGTACACAAAATTAAAATTTAAGTGTTATGAAAAATAGTTGACTAATAAGACTAATAAGTCTATCAACCCAACATGCTCTTGCTATTAGTTGCACTTGCTGGTTATACCGTTATATCGATCAGATTATGCTTTACGTTTGAGGTGATACACTAAAAAGTACTGCAAACGCTAAATTACAAGGTATATTGGTATTGGTATTGACGTTGTACCAAATTATACCAAAATTCACACAATATCATCTACTACGAATGAAATACTTAATTCAAGTTACAAAGTTCTTTTTTGCTTATGAAATTAAAGTGATATGGAGGAGAAACGCGTAGAGTGAGTGACTGAAGAAAGTCAGGTAGTGTTGGGTTGTAGACTTGTAGCCTTAGAGGCGGGTTGGACGGTGTGAATAGTTCAGGTAGTTTAAAACTATCTGGTAGGAATAAATAAATTAAGAATGCTATTTGTACAAATGATGTGTACACAAAGCATTGCTTAGAATAAAAAGAGAATTTACCCAAAATAGGACTAAAAATGTTTGGAAATTCCAAAATAGGACTGACATGTTTTCATTTCCAAAATAGGACTAATTACTGCCATGTTTTGGCAGTACCACACTTCAAACATGTCAGTATTTTCCAAACTTGGCAGTAATTACTCCTATTTTGGGAATAAAAAACATGGTAGTCCTATTTTGGAATTTTCAAACTGTTTTAGTCCTATTTCGGGAACTTTCCCGAATAAAAACTACGGAGTATCACATTGCGGGGAAAAAGATCATTTCATACCTTACAAGTAAGCTTCTTATAATACCTAAGACAACCTTAAACAACAACATATAAATAAAGTAGAAATCTAAAAACAAAGTGGGAAAGAAAACAACCAATTACCCATATTGTTTTGTTTACATGGAACATTCTTAAGAAGTTTGCAGAACACTATGGCAGCCCGATGGCTCCACGGATTGCTCAATTGTGATGAAAATAGGAACCAAAATGAACACAACCCGCACCGTTGAGTACAAATGCATCAAGTTCCAATTATACATATCATATGCTTAACTAAAGTATACAAAAACTCCTGTCTAAAAAAATGCATCAATTAAACTACAATTTTGTAATACCATGTTCAAACCATACAGCAAGCGTACACAATTCCAGCATTTCTTCTTTCCCGTCTAATCTACAGAGAAACATTCACAAATTTAGTCCCCCCTTGGACTGCTTCTACTTGCTCCTTTCTTTCCACTGTACTTCTGTTGCATCATCATCAAAACAAACCATTGTGAGTTCCTTAGAAATGATGAATTTGGCTAAAGTGGACGAAGTTAACACTGCACCTAATTAGGTTGATGAACTTGCTAACTTACCCAATTTTTATGTATTGAAGATATTAATATGTGGCTAGGTCTTGGATGTTGCTGTTGTTGTAAACACATTCATATGTGGTCGGGATTGACATGTTATTCATTTTAGCAACTTCAGCTCTTTGTATCATTTTAGCTTCAATTTCATATGTCGATCTATGATCGCCTACACCAAACTCTTTTGGAACTAAGGCTTGGATGTTGTTGTGGTTGTTGTTTGTACCAACTTTAACCAAGTAATATCCTCTATAGTGATTGTCAATTTATTCATTTTAGCAACTTCATCTGAAGTAATACAGTATGGAATAATAACCTAACCATTTTTTATTTTATTTTTTCATTACTAACTAATTCAGCAACACACAAGACCAAGTTCTGATTGGTAAAAGGGCCACTTTGTGACACATACACTGTGGTTTGATTGTTTCAGGTTGAGCACTATGGTTCACTTCGTTTGTTTACTATTTTAAAACAAGAACCTTGGTTTTCACATGAGCTAGATCTTTAGAAAACCAGATTTACTTCAGGAGTTGGAGAGAACCTCCAAATAAGAGATTTTTGAAGGTTAAGTTTTCTTTATAATAAATTCTAATTATTGTAATATGTCAACCTAGGTTAACCTCCATTCAAACAAACTTTGACTGCATTCTAGGTGAATTAACATAATTGTTAACCAACCAACATTTTTATACACACTTAGGTTCAGTCAGTTATTACACAACCAAGTTCACATAAGTTCAGCAAGTTTACTTAAGTTCAATCTATCCAAACATGTAAATATCAAATAATCTAAAACTAAACAGTTGTCACATATAGTGATTGTATTAGCTCCACAATTCCAGTTCTACGTAGATGATACCACGTAACAAACTGACCTGCTTTCCAATGTTAAATGGGATGTATCTATACTTGAGCATGTGTGAAATTTGGCGCTTCATAGTGAGGGTAAAGAGAACAGCCCAGTAGATCAACAATATTGGCCAAAACACAGGAACATCAAACATGGAGAAGAAAGTCATGACAAATGCCACACAGAAAGCCTTTGTGATAGCATACCTATATCAACAAAATTAGGAAAGGCCACCTCTAAAGGCTTATTTTGACAAAAAATATCCATAAAAAAACAGATAAAGAAAACAAAAAAACACAACTAGATGACACTTATGGAGACACATACCAGAACTTAAATTCTGGGAGTCGGCGAATGAATGGTTTAAATTCATCTGAACCTTTAGTAGGGAGCATAGGACCATCTGAGGGTTCAAGCTCTGGGTCAACAAGAGGCGACAGAAAACCAATCAGCAAATTGAGAAGGTAGATTCCCAAACCGTAGCTCACAATGTAGAACCCTTGGACATAATAGACCCTCAAAACGTAGAGAGATGCTAATACAGAGGTTCCAATCCATCTATAGGTAGCATGAGGTGTACTCTTATCTAAATAAAACTGGTAAATCTTCGAAAAATCATGCCTCCGCTGGTTCAGTTCACCTCCAACGCCCTCCATCAAACTCTAAGCCCTACACAGATCCAACATAATGAAGCAGATCTATGACTGAAATTAAACAGGCATATCACAAATCCGAACTCGCTTCTATTTGGAAAAACCTTAGGGATTCATATATTAGGAACATTGACAATCGATGACCATGAAAAGCAACAAATACAAAACGGATTGTTCACGTACCTGGGTTGGTTAGAACAGCTGAAATACTGTGATACTGAGACAAATGGATGGAGATAAAAGAGATCGGAGAAGACAAACGGAGTCTATATATCCTGTGCTCCAAAGTTGGTATATTCGGAAGGGATTGGACTTAGGATCCGACATAAAATAAAATTAAATAAACGACTTGATATTATGACAAAATAGTAATTATTACGGAGTATAATATTATTATTATTTCTCGTATTTTGTTTGTATTACTCCGTATATGAGATGAGAAAGCAAATACTCCGTATTAAATTCTCAATTATTGGAATTATTAAAAAACTTGGAAACCGGAGTCGAGAGCTTCTCTCTCTAAAATCTTCGGCGCTCTCTAGGGTTTCGGTCGTTGGGGTTTTGAATTCGGATTTTGTTTTTACGAAGATCGGTGCTTATCGGAGTGGTGAATGCGAATGAAGACAGAGGGCTGGGTTCTCATTTCGGCAGTCTCAATCGCGGCCTGAACTCAGATGAACAGAAGGAGCAGGGCTTGGTCTCGGCTGGGACTCACGCGAACGGACGAAGCAGGATTGATGGCCAAAGGTTGTGTATCCCCAGTAGCAGGTAGAGAAGTTCGAGAATGTCGTTCATGGTGGAGATCAAAAGGTCAGGGACGAAGCGTGGGGCTAGAGGTTGGATCAGATTTGGATTGGAGGCAAGGAGCGGAAGATGTTTTAGTACTGTTGGACCGTCCCCCTCCTGAACAACCACCATGGAGTGCAGGAGAGTCTAGAGTTTGGAAGCAGTATTTTAATTTTATTATTTGCTTGCTATTTAATTTCCATGGTCAGACTGTTTTTATTGTTTCTTTTGCTGTAAGACTCTTGCATTAGGTTTGGAGGATGGAAGTTCTACGGTAACCGTCATTCGCTTTAAGTTGCCCAAATTTGGTCTAGTGAGTTGTACTGCTTTTGTACAGGTGGTTAACTCTCATTCCCGGCCACGGGCGGATGCTTACATGTGGTTCTTTTACGTTTCTGTACTCTTGCAAAATGCTATTTCTATGAATTAAGAGTTCTTTGACCAAAAAAAATTCTCAATTATTGCTACAATAGCATCCCTCGGTCCCTCCCATCCATATTTACTGTTCACGTGGGTCAGAAGTTTTGGCGAAATGCCGAAATCGCATCAATAGCAACTATACGTTTTATTTGGCCTTCCATAAAATTGAGTAAGATTTTAATACTCCGTGATAATTTAATCACGAACAATAGGACGAGGGCAAATGGTTAAAAAGGGAGATTTACGTGAATAGAGAATCTAAACAATGTCATTTTATCCAAATAAATCATACCGACTAGTGTTTAAAATTTTATAAATATAATTTTTTATTTGTGATTGTACAAAATATCCTAATTGGGTTGGAGCAGAGTTGTCCATTGGTCACCAGGCCGCCTCCAGGCTACCACCGATCGCCGCCACCTCGTGCCGGAGTTCACTTCTACCACTACCGACTAAACTGGTATGCAAGGAAACTAGGATGACAAATAATTATATTAGTAAATTAGATTATAAGTAAAAAGATAATGTTTAGTCAAGAACTCAAACATATGATCCTAGAATGAGCAATTTCCTCATTAAAAGACACTCACTAGACGTGCTTAATACAGTTTAGTCATTAGACCAATGACTTAACGAATATAATGAGTGGAATATTACAAATGTTTTATTTAAAAAGATATAAGAGTTTATACTAAAAATTGCTAAAAGAAGATGAAGTTTACATCAGACAAAAGAATATTACCTCCTTTTATTAATAATACTCCCTTTGTCCTTGATTGTTCTTCCAAATTAAAGTGTCACGTTGATTAAGAAAGTGAGAATTGTGTGGTGGAGAGTTGTGCAGAGGAGAGAGAAATGTTGTGAACCACAAATTCTTTGCCAAAAAGGGAAAATTAAATTCTTTTTGGGACGGACGAAAAGGAAAAGTTGGAAGTAAATTCAGGGACAAAGGGAGTAATATTTTTGAAGTAGAGATGAAGAAAAGCAGGTGGATAATTCAATGATATGGAGGCAGATTGATAATTATAAATTACATTAAAAAAATTTAAGTGGGTAAAATATGATTGGATACGCCGGATATATTAAAATTTAGACAGATAAAGTTTAACAACAATAAAAATTACATTGCTCCATACCCCACTTAAAAAATAAAAGAAATTATTATAAGTAGTACGCAGATTAAGAAAGTGAGAATTGTGTGATGAAAAGTTATGCAGAGGAAAAAGAAATCCTAATCACAAATTCTTTACTAAAAAAGAAAATGAAATTCTTTTTTAAACGAACAAAAGGGAAAGATGGAAGTATTTTTGGGAAGGAAAGTATTTTTAGGAAGGAAGTGAAATTCTAAAAAGGAGAGTGTGAGTGGGATGGGATGTGAAGCATCCTCCGCCACATGATTATATATCTTCAGGAAATACTACTCGCACAGCTCCTCCATTTTTAGGTGTCTGCTGCGTACGGTCATTTCAGGCCCTTTTCCTCCCTTCTTCTCTCTGTCCACCATCGTGGCAGCCGTCGTCCGATCTGTGTGTACGATTGCTACCGGCGTCTCCCTCTGCTTTCGAACCAACTCTTGATTTAATCCGAGGTACTTTCTGGGTTTTACTTCAAGTCAACAACACCTGATCTCATCTGCTTTCATGAATTCCTGAATTTATTGCTTTTTGCTTCTTACTTCTTTCTGTAATGCGGGGTTTTCTGCTTTTCTGCACTTCAAAATGATATTTTGATGCAATCATTGACCGGTTGTTTGTAATATGTCTGTTCTGCACTGGAATTTGATCTCCGTATGGGTATTGGGTTCACTGATTGGGATGTGATAATAGTTTAGAGTGAACTGCGTACACAGGGATCCGGAATGAAATAAGATCATGGGTTCTTGCATGTGTTTCATAATTTCAGATATTGGCCTTTTTAATTCGTGTTTGAAGATACTGTTTTATGCAGTTTTATTATTCCTTATTGCTGGTATAATTTGCCAGGACAAAAAGAACACACATGTCATGAATCTGTGAAGGTTAAACAACATTGGAAGCCTGTAAAACCTTAAAACTCCATCTCATCATGTCGGAGAGCATTGCACAATCATATCAAGAGTGTGATGAGAGAACTGGGCAATCTATGTATCCAATTCAATCTGTGTGGGTAACACGATGGGTTGGAACAAGTCAAAATGCAACTCCACAAGCCAGCAATATTCCCAATTATGCTTTCGAGAGCAATAAGAAAAGGGATGAAGTTGAATTGGGGAGTGCTGGAGATGTAAGAAAATTTGGAACTCAAACGCATGAAGTGGTTAATGAGAGTTTGAGAAGTGTTTCTGGAAACATAAGAGTAGAAACCTCTACTCATACCTCCACCACTATGTCAATTCCCTGCAGAAATGGGTTATCCTTACAGGGCCGTCAAGAAACTCAAGGATGTCTCACTGCTAAGCCTCTTCATGATCTAAACCCTACTTCTGCAAGTGGCGTTTCATCAGCTAAGAACTCTTGTGGTCCAGCAGCAAATCCTACCCGACAGGTGAAACCTCATTCGTTCTTCAGACACAGCCATACTGTTGCATCAGGACCTTCTGCAGGCAATTGCATGGAATCAGCTTCACATATTGTGCCATATAGATTTGGTTATGGAAAGTTTAAAGATGATGCCAGCCTGAGTGAGATGCCATTGCTTATGGATAGTAGACCTTCTAAACCTAATATTCCAAGGAGTAATAGTATTAAAATTCTTGAAGATAAGCATAGTAACTATGACAGCCAGCTGGAAAGTGAAAGTCAACCACTGAAAGTCAATGGGGACTGGTTTAAGAAGTTGCAGAATGGGTCTCCTTTGGCAGCGCTAAAAAACAACTGCACTCCTTTAGAAGAGTCTGAACCAAACAAGGCACTAAACAACAATTGCATTCCGGAAAAGTTGACTCACTCATTGCATGATGTGAAGACAATGAGAATATGCACTACAGTGGACTCTGTTGTAGGATTAACAGGATGTTATCCTAGATTCTCTCAGACAACACACAGTTTGTTAGTCATGAAGGAATCTGATGTGAATGCCTGCAAAGAGAATCAAACCATCAGCACTTCTAGAACGTTTAATGAGTTCAATAAAAAGATATTCAACGATGTTTTGTGTCAGAAACAGCAAGGTGTAAAGCTCCAACTTCTTGAAAGCTCCAATGCCAGTGAGCTTGAAGAAGAAGGTGTCCAACCTTTAGAAGTTGATGCAAATAATGAATCATCCGCTGACACTGATGCCATGGATTTCGATGCCTTTCCTGGAAAGTCCAAGCTCTTAGGTACATACTCAAATAGATCTATTCACTGTTAAGAAGTCCACACTTGCAGTTTTATAGTCCTATGACTTAGAGGCCGTTTGATAACATCATTTTTCGGCTTATCAGTCTTATCAGCCAACTTTTTCACCAAACACGTAACTTTTACTTTCGCGCACTGAATTGTGTAATAAGCAGAAAAAGTAAGGTTGGAGTTACTTTTCTGGCTGTATTGGCTGAAGTTACTGTAGATGACCATTTTAACTATTTTTACATATAATTATTTATTTATTTTGTTAATAAAATATATTTTAATTTTTTTATTACTTAAAACAGCAGAAACAGCCAAAACAGCTACTTCGGTCAGAACTTCATAAATTTCAGCAGAATCAGCCAAAACAGCCGATTTTCGTGCTACCAAACGGGCTCTTAGATACCTATGATGTGTTGATATGCCAAATATTCTACTTAAGTAATCTAGAATATTCATTTTAGTCTGTATTTGGTGTAATTAATTCTTCGCTTATATTGCTACAGGTATCAATTTTGCCTCATTATTAAAGAAGGTACAATATCCCTCCACTTCCCAAATATCTTGCTGCTTTATTTTCCATATGCCAGTCACTTTTTGGTCTGTATGGGACTCGAAAATACTTGAGAAAGAAAATACTACAGAGTATGAGAATAGAATTTGAAAGACAGAAATTTAGGATAAAATAAAAGGTAAGCTCAAACGTAGTTAGTCTATATATGTGTTCAAACCTAACTTATCCAGGCCAGACATAATGTGTTCAAACTAAACCAAACGAAACCAAACATATCCCGGAAGTCTCACTCAAAAGTAGGGTTTGAGGAAAGTGATGTACATGGACTTTACCTCTACCCCTAGGAGTAGAGATGGCAGTTCCCATGATCACATCTGACTAAGGAAAAGTTCGCAACATATTTACTTTATGTATGTTTCAATGATATAAACACTATAAAATCTACGTGCATATAGAATAATAAAACAAGTTAATCCCAAACCAAACAAAGAAAAACTTCCTTTAGGATTTTTTACCAAGTATTTTCCAGAACCCAAACATAGCCTTAGGGTTTAAACAACAATTTTTTCAGTTATTTTTTACAGAGTAAATTGTTCAATTGTAGGAGTGTGAAAAGTACCAAAACTTATGTCGACTTACACTTATGGATCAAGTGGGATCTGATGGCATTAAGAAGAGTAGGCTATTACCTAAGAATAATAAGAACTCCTCACACCCCCCTGACATTCATCAGTCTGAAGCAACCTCAGCAGACCATTTGGATGTAAGTTCAAACACACAAAGTTTGGATATGGAATCACTCGTTAGCGGTTTCAATGACCAGCACGGTAACTCGAAACCAGACGTGTTTCATCAATCCAATCTTCCAGGACAAGACTCAAGTAGCAGCTTCGCGAAGCGTGTGAAATTGAGCAATCTTTACGCTTTTGGTCTTGGGACAAGGAGTACAAATGCAAAAGAAGATTTACCTCATGAGAAGCAGCACAACAGGTTTCGTGGTCAAACATGCTCTGAACCGATGGCTAGTAAAAATAAAGGTAAAGAATGGATAGTTCAAGATAAATGTACTAGTAGGAAAGGTGGCGGTGACTCTTCTTCTTCAGCAAACATGAGAGGAAAACTGACTTCATACCCGTGGATCCAGAGGTTGCTCCGTGATAAAGGAACCACCAACGGTGTTATTCCGGATGTGGTGGTGGAGGGTTATGAGGCAGGGAGTTCAGAATTGAAAGTTGAGGAAATTCAGAAGAGACATTTTCCCAGCATAGCTGCCATGGCGTTAATGGCGAAAGGCATGAAGGGGTTGCACCCTTGTCAGTTTCAGAAGAAGGGCTCTTTTGTAGTTTGGAACAATAGTGGTGGCTTATGAATAAAGAAAAGAACTTCCGGTTATGGTGCACTATTAGTGATGGTTACTCAGCGGGCCCTTGTATATTCAAGAAAAACTTCACTTATTGTCCCATGATTACTAGGTCAATCCTACTTTCTGGTTTCAGGCATTCATTTTTCCACTTCTGGTTACTGAATATGGATTTTTTTTGTCATGGTTGGTCCTGATGATTCATCCAATCAATTTTTCATACAGTTTTTGATTGATTGCTGCTATGTAAATTGCTAGAAGGGGTGGAACTTGACATGGAATTCATAGTCATATCATTCATCAAAAGTGGAAAAGCAATGAAAGTTGAGGACTTAAGGTGGATTTTCCTAATAAAGGCGCGTATAGGAGTTTGCATGACCTAATAACATCTGGTCTTAGGAAGTATCTTTCTTTTTCGTTTTGGCTTCTTGTAATTGCTTGAAGGGTCCCTGAATATTCAAGCCACAGGGTGCAAAAGAATCATTATTCTGGTTATGCATTTGAGCAGCAAGTGTCTTTCTGTTCATTATTTGTACGTAGGAAATGTTTTTTACTGTGATGACTTTGAAAATGTATCATGTTGCAGTAAATATTTTTTTCTATCGTGCTTGAGAGTGTGATAGAAATCATAGAACTGATAGATATTGGATGTAGTTTTGGAAGACGTAATTTTGTATTACAAAACAAGTATGATTGCATTACTGGTTGATGTTACTACGGGCTACCCTAGTTCCTGTGTTTTTTTGTAAAACAATGACGCAATGAACAGCAACGTAATGTGGTGGTACACTTTAAATTAGTAACTCAACCGTAATTCAACATATTAAGTTGCACAATTTTTATAAATACACTATTAAAGTGTATTGTGAATTTATGTTTAAAGTTTAACTTATTGCTCCTAACTAAACTGGTTGATCCGAAACTTTGGGTTCTCATCAGATTGGCTATTTAACCGGTAACCATTCAGTTTTTCGGTTAGAACGTCCAGTTGGCTTATTTTTATTATTTTCTATTTTTAATACTTTTCTTTTATTTTACTTTCCTTTTTATTTTCTATTTCTTCTGCTTTCTCTTTTCTTAGTTCGCTCTGCAACTCTAGCGTGAAATACCTTCTCCTTCAATTTCTCCCTAGCAGCAGGGGCGGCCCGGCCCTGTATGTCTGAGGGCCTATGGGCGAAAAATTAAAATGGATCTAATGTTACAAAAAAAATGTTACAAAAAATTGTAGAACCATTTTCTATCTAAAGTGACATGTATAATAATAATATTTCAAGACATTAATAAAAAATTGTAACACCCTATTTATTGTCTAAATAAATCTTATTGTATTAATGATCCTTGTTTAGGAAGGAAACAATGGTTATCATATTTTTACACTTTACCAATGTTTAAGTCATATTTAAGGAATTAACTCTATTATTATCATCTCTTAAATTTTCCCTCCAATGATGTAATCATTCTGAATTATTAAATTTTTAGGAGCTAAATTATTTTTCTTCTATGAATTCTCATCTTGAAGATGACATTCAGAATTTAACTTCTTTACACAAACAAATTTTTCAATTGAATTTGTTTTACATAGCGCGTTCTCTAATCTACTCCTCTTTTTTATTTATCCTTTTCAGATTCAATCCTTTTGATTACACATTGAAATTAATTAAATTTATAAATTTCATCACAATTGAAAATAAAATGTTTGTCTAACAAAATCAAGTGAAGATTAAGTCCATAAAATTTCAGCTTAAAATTCGATCGTGAAGTCAGTTAAATAAATTATTGAAAAATAATACGCAAAAACATGTATAAAAACACAATGTTTTTCAATAATTTATTTAACTGACTTAGCTTCACGATTGAACTTTGAACTGATTTTTTTTACATAATTCACACTTCGGGTCTGTTTGCAACCCATTAAAAAAAGTGCTTTTAACTTTTTTTTTTAAGAAAAAAGCATTTATTTTATCAAACACTACCAACTTTTACTTTCTCGGCTTCTGTGTAGAATCTACTTTTTACTTTTTCTATTACACAAAAAGCACTTCTTTTACCAAACACTACCAACTTTTACTACTAATCACTTTTTTCCCAAAAGTGCTTTTATTTAAGCAGAAGTGGTTAGTGCTGGACTCGGGCCGGGCGGCCCGGCCCGGAACCGGCCCGGCCCGGTCACTGTTTGGCCCGGCCCGGCCCGGGGCCCGGTGGGTCCCTCGGTTCGGTTCGGCCCGGCCCGGCTGCTGGGCGGTTCGGGCCCGGGCCCAGGTTTTGGTGAACCGGCCCGGCCGGTTCGGGCCCGGTCCGGGCCGGATTTTAATTTTTTTTTTTTTTTTGAATTTTTTTTAAGTTTTAGGTTGGATTAGGTATTTTGGGCCATTTGAGGTGGTTTGGGATGGTTTGGGGTTGAGGGGGAGGGGTAGGGGATTAAATAGGAGAACAAAAAAAAAAAAAAAAATATTGGGCCGGTTCGGCCCGGCCCGGCCCGGTTTGGCCCGGAACCGGGACCGGAACCGGCCACCGGCGGTTCGGGCTCGGGCCTCCCTTTCCTGGCCCGAGGCCCGGCCGGGCCCAGGCCCGAACCGGGCCCGAACCGGCCCGAGTCCAGGACTAGAAGTGGTTGCAAACAAAGCCTTCATAGAGAACATGATGATAAGTTTTCACCAAAGAGAATTCATTCCGATGAACTTCAACAAATTCCACCCGGAAAAATGTTAGTTTAGGGCTGAAAAATCAACCTACTCACACATAATACAAAGTACTAAATTTGGGCCTATTTTTTATCCATTTTTTTTGGCCTAGGGCGCCCGCCCCTCTTGCACCCCCTAGGGCCGCCCCTGCCTAGCAGATGTGCCGGTCAGTGAAGGTTGGGGACTTGGGGTGGAGAGGTTGCTTGACTGAATGAGGCAGAGTTAGAGGCAGTAGGAGCGGCAGAGGTTGGCTATGGAGGTCCGGGCAGTTTGAGGTCGCTTTGCCTTCAATGGAGGAGGCGGAGCTGTAGGCCGCAGAAGTGTTGGCCGGAGTCTATGTGTATGGAGGTAGGGGTAGAGGAGATGTGATGGAGACCGGAGGCTAGTGGTGGACTTGGGTCGGGCCACTCGGCCCGTGAACCGTCCCGGCCCGCTACTATGCGGGCCCGGGATCGGCCGGTTCACCGGTCCGGGTACCGGGCTTTGACCCGGCCCGAGGGGGAGACAGTCCCGGGCACAGTTCTTCCAAAATGAGACTCGGCCGGGCGCGGGCCCGGTTCGGGCCGAAATCAATTTTTTTTTTTTTTTTTTTTAATTCCAACGGGTTGGGCTGGGTGTTTTGGGGGGGTTGGGGGGGGGGGGTCGGGGGTTAATTAGAAAAAGCAAAAAAAATATATATAAAGAGGCCCGAGGCCCGGCCCGGACCCGGACCGGACCCGGTAGGTACCCGGGCCGGTCCCGGGCCCAACTATTCAGAACCGGCGGCCCGCTCGGGCCTAGGCCCGGCCCGGACCCAACCCGGCCCGAATCCACCCCTGCCAGAGGCGGTGGCTATGGAGACCGGGTCGGCAGTGGGAGTGATGGCTATGGAGACCGAGCCGGCGAGCCAGCAGTGAGGGTGATGGCTATGGAGACCGAGCCAGCGGAGATATGTCCAATTGGAGGTGGCGGAGGCGGTAAGAATTGTGGAATTGAATGAAAGTGGCCGGAGGTGGTCGGAATTGAAAGAAATGGAGAAGCTATGTGGAGCCTAACACCAGCGTGGAAAGGAGAAGAAGCAGGAACGGACGAGGAAGAAGAAATAGAAAGAAAGAGAAAAAGAATGGAGAAATTAAAAAAGAAAATTATAAACATATGAAAACAGTAAAAAAATGTGAGTTGGAATATCCACGTAGCCATTTAACCCGGTAACCGTTTGCTTACCTGATAAATAGCCGATTTGGTCATTTTTTATTAAGTGAACCTCTTTGACAGTTTTTCCTTATAATTAAAAGAACTACGGAGTACATATTTTCTTTGTAGGCCATCTCAAAATAAAAGTTATATTTCCATTTTTGTCAAACACTCATCATATACTCCGTATATATATACAATCTCACTTTTTACTTTTACCTTCCTTTTAATTTTAGTTACACCCTACCCTTACCCTTGTTTCACCGCTCTTGCTCATATTGCATCCAACCCTCAATCACTCATATCCATCGTCTCACTATTTCGTTTATCCCTCATCACTCCATAGTCCATACATCTCTCTTCTCACCTCGCTCGTATCTCTGTCCTTACGTACACGTTGTTAAATCCATCTTCTTGGTGCACACATTTTTGTGCCCCGCAGTTTATCAAATTTCCGCATTTTTAGACGAATTGGCTATGCACAAGGAACAAATAAGAGTCGTGTATAAAAACATGTACAAAAGGAATTTGTCATATATACATATACATGCATATTTGTAATATCGTAGTATATAGTACGTAGTATTATGTATGTGTGTGTACTAGTGTATACTTTATACTACTATAAATGAGATATGACTTGATTCCAAATGCTAAGGTTATTTTATATGACTGTTCCGTCTTTGATGATTGCTTTCTCCATCAGAATAGTAATTCCTGATCTAATATAGAATCCTTCATCTGGCCTGTCTGCTTCTTCAACACCCTGTGTACCCAACCACATTATATGTGCACCATATACATTAACCAACAACAACCTCTGCCCTTTTCATTTAATTCAACTAAAAACACGTTCAAGGAAGATTCATATGGTTTTTTTTTTACAAATATAATCAACTCACATCTGTGTTCTTGATGATCACATCCTTCCCTATTCTTACATTCTTGTCAATGATACAGTTGCTACATGAAAAGTAAAAGGGTATGTTAAGAATCAGCAAAGAAAATAGAAGTCATGTTATGCGAGAGTTGTTTGATACAAATGGTTGGGTTTTCTAATGGGAAAAGCGTTCTAAAATTGTTTTCAGCCAAATAAGTAGCTCATAATCAGATTATTTTGTTGATAACAAGAATAAGTTCAAAACCTGATATTATGACAACCAAACATCTTCATAGTGTTGATGTTTAAATTTTGTCGTGCCTAGTATTGTTTATGATTTTATTTGATCAAATAGATGGTATATTTTGTGTAACTTAATTTGCTTAAATATAGTGAATCTAAATATTTTGGTTTTCTAATGAATTGCACATATATTAAGAAAAAAGTTCTATTAACTTCCTGAAAATGCTCATTTACTAATTAAGGAGAAAAGAATTCTATTTAGGTTCACAAAAAGTGGAAATTTTAATTAAGGAGAAAAGAATTCTATTTAGGTTCACAAAAAGTGGAAATTTTATTTAGGGAGGGAGAGAATGAGTGTGTTTGCATTTAGCGGTTATGGGTTAGCGGATACCGAGTTATGTTGGCGGGTTATCAATAGCGGATTCACTCAACGAATTTGACTGGCGGAATAAGTTGGCAGGTTGCATAAAAATGTTGATAATTTAGCTGTTTGGGCATAAAAATTAGTAGAAAATGACATATTTCAAAATGCTAACTCAAAACTCTCTTATTTGCAGCGTTTTCATTTCAGTGGTTCTATCCAAAAACGCTATGACCGAACAACTATTTGCCAAAGATGTTTTCATTTGTTGAAAATGCGAAAATTGGTGAAAGTGTGGTTTTTTGACCGAAATGCCATTTTCCATATCCCCGATATAATGGTGTAGCACTGTAGCTTGGGAGCTTCCTAGTATTGAAAAGTACAACCCTCCAGAAAAGCTTTTATAATCTTGGAAGTGGTTAAATGTGGTTTCCCTCCTAGTTAAGGGAAGGAGCGGATAAAAGTACTCCACATGGTGGGGGTACACCTTTAATTAGACATTTAATCTTGGTACTTGAAAAGTACATGTATGATGCATCTTTTAATTTAAGTTAGGCTTTTACCTTATTTTTGAATTTTGCCCAATCCCAATTGGTACATCTCCATTGCCAAGAAGAAACGCAATCTCAGATTCTGTCTCGTAATAATCTGCCCCCATCATCAGCGACTCCTGATGGGTTAGAAAATTCGATAGTATAAAAATTAAAGATAGATTAATGAAAATGATGCATTTGAATTATTTAAATCTAAATTAAAAAAGGATATAATAATTTGGACCAATCAAATTCATGACAGGTACGGTACCTCATTTTTTAAATGGGTACCGAAGTTGTCACCAAAATTAAATTGGGGAAATTGCTTGCAATATATGGCCTAAAGAATCGGTGATTCCCGGTGGCGAACCCGTAGTACAGACCCAGGGGACGGTCGCCCCCCAACAACAAATTTTTTATTGTATTTTTATAATAAAAAATAATTTCCGCCCTCTCATAAAATATTTTGTTTAAATTACTGTCCTCCTAAGACAAACTTCCTGGGTCCGCCCCTGATGATTCCTAATAAATGTCTAACTAGTTTTTTATTTTTGAATTAACGGTGCTTTATATGTATGAATGTATGATCCTTATTTTGATATTATTTTCTCACTCTTCAATTCAATGATTACCCGTATAAATGTATACTTAAATTTACTTAGTCATAAATTACGAGTGTGAATAGAATAAATTCCACTTTTTGTCCACGAGTATTGCACCAATTTCATAATTGGTCCATGTCTTTGACCACTTTTGGTATATGACTATTGCTTTTTCGCCTATATATGGTCCTTCCGACAACTATTCCGGTGGTTAAAATAAACGCAAAAGGACAACAAATGGTCAATAAACATTAGTCAAGTACTAAAAGTGGACAAAATGAAAGACATGGACTAAATGTGGAAATGACATAAAACTCGTAGGATAAAAAATAGAATTATTTCGTGTGAATATGCCACTTAAAAGCCAATTTGGTAACGTAACACTTAAATTGATTGAATCGACCGATTATGCGGAAATTTTTAAAGATATAATTCAAGTAGTGTTGTGCTATACTCCCTCCGTCCCCTTTTAAATGTCCCGGAAGAGGGTGACACAAGTTTTAAGAAAAGTGGGTTTGTGTGGTTGATATTAATTGATAAAGTAAGAATAAAGTAAGAATGATTTTGAGCCACACAAATTTACCAAATAAGTTATAAGACAATTAAATATGGACATCCCAATATGATAAAATAAGACATTTAAAAGGGGACGTAGGGAGTACTTCTCTAATCTCTTGCCTTGAGGTTAACGCCGTGATCCAAGCGGGACCGCTCACCAACAATGGAGTGTTCCACGACACACTCCCGCAAGAAACAACCATGGGAGATTATGGCATTCTTAATCTACACCACACCACACCACACGTTTAAATGTTATTAAAATTAGTGAAAATTGAGGTCAAAGTTAGCCCCTTTCAATGATTGAAGAAGATAATGCTGCGAGTCTATGGTCATTGGGAATTAAATGTATCGGTAAATTGATATATAAATAATTATAGTTCAATCATATATAAGCAAATGAATAAATAAAATGAATTACATTTAATTACAATTTAATGTTTGTGCTGGTTTTACCTTGCAATAATCGATTTTGGTTGGTGGTAGTAATCGTGGAGATGTGTAGAAAGGTGTCCTGGGATCATAAAACTCAAACTTGGGAAACTGCAACATACAAATGGCAACTTAGGAAAAATAAATTGGACAAAGGGTTAAATAAGTGCTTTTACTATTGTCAAAAATCATATAAGAACTATCATATAAATGTATTTACTTGTGAAAAACAATCAAATGAATCAAATGACCGGAAAACAACCTCAATCAGGTTATTGCATTTTAACTTTTTTTCCTTCTCTTTTTTTCTTCTCTTGGTGCACAGTACACTTTCAGTTTTTATTTGTCATTTTCCTTTTTCATTTTTTTCCTTGATCTCAAATTCTCAATCTAAATCCTATGTTCTTGTCTTCTCGCTGCACGCTTTTATCATCTTTATTTTTCATTTTCTTCATTTCTAATGATTTGTAACGTTTTGTATTTTCTCCAAGTTTGCAACAATTTTTATTTTTAGTTTTATCTTCTTTTTCCCCTTGTTTCTTTTTTATTTGTTGTCTTCTCCCAAGAAATATTATTTTACATTCATTTCTAATGATTTCAATAAATTATACTGAATCATAAATATGTTCATTCTTGGAAAAAATAAAATCCAATTGTTAATGAGATTCTTTTATTTGAGTGAAATTACACTTTTACTCCTTCAATTATTACTTATATTGAAATCAAGTATTACTATAAAATTGAACTAACACTGATAAGTATTTGTAATTTTCTTACAGTTAAGATTGCAACTTTAAATACGGTAAAAATTATTCATTTTTCGTACAATTTTTATCAAACTCTAAGGTTAGGCCATACGACAAAAAATGTCAGTCATAAAATTCAAATTTTATAGACAATAATAGTGTGACCCAGACAAAAATGTCACATTGTATACTTTTTTTTTTAATTTAAAAAAACTAATATTTACATGTTTAATCGGCAAAAGCGGATTGTTCAAATATTTTGTGTGTATGTCTAACTTAACAAAAAGAAATTATTGGTACAAAATATTATGTCATGTAAAATTAGATTATTTCGACCAATATTTTTTATCTGTCACCTAAGTGCGGAAGTATTGTTATTTTTTGACCAATATTTTTTATCTGTCGCCTAATTTTACTGTGAAAAATTGTTAATGCAAAAGATTTTGAAAATGTGTACAAAAGTATGTGTGTAGGCTATTGGAGGGATGCAAAGAGAGGCAAAACATGTTTCTAATTGGACTAAAAAATCTTGGTATTGTCTATTTAAATTATGTCTGATCTAATCTAGTAAACATTTGATTTATGTATATTTCATTATTATCTAAGTCTAGTATGGTACTATGTATGGTGTATTTAAACCTGATGCGTCGTCTTGTTCGGGTTGAAAATAGTTTTATTCCGATAAAGAAGAAGAGAAAGAAAAAGCTAAAAATAAATAAAAAGAAAAATGGAAATGAGGAATAAAAGAGAAATAAAAATGAAAAAAAATTAGGAGAAAATACAAAATAAAAGTGACAATTAAGATAAAGAAAAAAGAAAAAACTTACTTCGTAGAATGTGGGTAGGAAAGGAGGGAAACATTTGGAAGAGTGTGATGTGAAGTAAAGGAAAATGAAAAAAAAATGTGGATGACATGATATTACGTTGTTAGTAGCTCAATTGGCCTAATTGATGGGTTTTTGATAGTAAATGTGTCTATGTGATGTTTTTTAGTAGATGGACTTAGGTGATGATTTTGCATTAGTAAGAGGGTTTATCAGATCCTTTTTCCAAATAAATTTAATGCTTCAAATAGTTTCGTTTTACGGTTTACACTATATTCGTAACATTTTTAGTTTCCACTCCATTCATACCATGAGCAAATATGAAGGTTTCGAGAGTATATTTTGACATTTTCCTTAAACCGGTGAGTAAAGTTACTTTGGGAGAGAATTGACTCATGATGACCTCAATGTAAATTTTTAACATAAATAATGTTCACCAAAATTACTATTATGAATTTATGATATCCTAAGTACTCTCTGTATTTTTTTGTTTGCTACAATAGGTGTTGACACGTTTTTTAAGAGTGAAATAGTATGGGTAATGAATAGTGTAGAAAAATTAGAAAAGATGGTGGAAAAGTATGAAAGAGAAGATAAAAAGTAGAAAAAGTAATGATGATTGATTATTTTAATGGAAAATTTTACCATAAAAGGAAAATGTAGCAAATTTTTGAATACATTCAGAAAAGGAAAGTGTAGCAAACAAGAAAATACGGAGGGAGTATAAAAAGTCGCACACTGTTTTGTTTTACTATATTATCATCAATGTTCTAAAAGGCGCTAGGCGCTAGTCGGGCGCCAGCCCAGCGCCTAGCGCCTAGGCGGCTAGGCGGGCGCCTAGGCGGCTAGGCGGGCGCCTAGTCGGGGACTAGTCGGGGACATAGACATTGCATTTTATCTATATTTTTGCATAAATATGATAAGTAATATTGTATTTTGTGTGCATAAAATACATATATACATATACATTAATAAACATGAATGATAAAATTATCACATTTAATTATACGTTGTACTCCATATATGATAACTGATCACTTAACTTCATTATGTTATAAGTATAAATATGTTATCACATTCATACATAGTTTTATCTTAATTTACAACTTCATTTCTTTATATCCATGGCTAAAGTTAAAGTATGTATATCGCTTAGAAAATTAAAATTAAAAAGTGAAGTAATGTTCGGCGAATCTAGATGGCCTAGGCGGCCGATTAGGCGCTCTAGGCGGGCAACTAGGCGCCATAGGCGGCCGACCAATTAGTCGGAGCGCCTAGATGAAAATCGGGGCGCCCGACCACCGCCTAGCGCCTAGGCGGGGACTAATCGAGCGCCTAGAACGATTTTTAAACAGAGATTATCATTATTTCATACGTAGTATTAGTTTGGTCATAGAGAAAACTTAATTTTGAGGTCAACTTATTACAAAAAGGACATTTTGAAATAAAACTTGTTTTCAATCACAGAGTCATACTCTTGTCAAAAAAAATCAGAGTGGTACTTGAACTTTTGGAGTACTAAGATGCTTAAACATAACAATAAGTATAGGTTTATATGCATTTTCAAAATATATTCATATGTGACATTTACTTGTCGGATGTTGAAAAGGATAATCATTTTTCAACACACAGTAAGTGAATATATGTTACATATGAATGTAACTCGAAAATGTAAGCAAAAAATGTTCTCACCTCTTGTGTGAGGGCCAAGTTTGCTTTGTAGAAAGATTTTAGTGTCCCTGTGTCTTCCCAATAGTCTCTGAAGATATAAGCCTGTATAAATATTTCAACACACATCAATAAATGGTTTTATACCCCACTCACACATGCATAGATTAAGAAAACAAATTATCAAATTGATCTCTTAGGAGGTAAATTTTTTATTATAAAAACGTACATCTAATTTGGATATGAGTTGGATAAGACTCTTAGGCACATGAAGCATATGCCATATGACCCTCCATTTTATGTTAATTAAACATATTCTATTATTTTTCCCACAATATTACTAAAACAAAACCCACACGGATAGCTCAATTGGAGGTAACTGTTCCTGTGTGTTGGGCTGGACTTTTGATGCGCCCGAGTATAATTAAGGTCCTATCACCGTTAGGATTGATTGAGTCATCGTGATTTATAACCTCTCATATGCTCTGTCGGATCGAGCAGGAGCCTTGGGGTTGGGGATTCAACCGTTTTGGACAACTAAAGCAAAACAAACAACCATATGATTGCATAGTCACTTCTATTATGACAATCACTCTGTAAATAATACCATGATTGATCTGTGTTTTAAGAGTCACAATATTAAAAATTATTGTTACTATTTCATTAAAAATTATTGTATTATGCAATAATTACAATTAAAGTTATATAGAGACATGGGAAATGGTGCTTTTTCCCTTACTTGAACATTGTGGTCATGGATAACAGCAGGAATGATTTCTGACCCAAAGTCATTTGCTGTGGGGTATCTCCAGCTTAACAGCTTCATCAGAATATCTCTCTTAAACACATATAATCCCATTGAAGCAATATGTGGATTCCTTTTGCCTTCTTCAGGAGACAATCCTATGAGACTGGTGTCCACTTGCTGCCATGAATCATAAGTTATTATGTAATTAGCAACAGAAAAATGGGTTTTAAAATGGGATTTGTACCTACCATTTCTTTTAAGCTCGCGCCTGCGGGTTTTTCGTTGAACTGGACAACTTTGCCCCTGTGGTCAATTTTCACCAGCCCAAAGTCTGCTGCTTGGCTGATAAAGCCAAATCAATAACATATGTGACACTAAAGTAGACTGTTTATTTCCAATGTGACTTTACAAAGTAGATCTTTATCTCTTTCTCTATTTCTTTGTTGTATATCCTGTTGGGCAAGACTAAATTCTTAATTCTGGGGGATTTAGGCTATTTTTCTTAATTTTAAAAAGCAAGCTAAAGAAAATATCGTCTAGAAATTGAAGGCTCATGGTTAAAAAAAGCAAGCTACCAAACCAGCATTTGATAAAAAAAAGCAAGCTACCAAATCAGTATTCTAAAGTTTACAATTACTCAAGTACGGAAGAGATACACTTCTTATTCTTATATAAGCTACTAAAAATACACCATTCAACACACTGCATTATCAATTCTCAGGTGTAAGTTCCATACCTGTCCCCAACTGGTGCACAAGCAAGGGTAATATCGGAATTGCAATCAATGTGTTTCTGTAAAGGCAATGGAAAAGATAAATAGAGAGAGATGTGCATACTATTTAGCCTTTTTGAGGAGTATTAATAATGAAACATGTTACTTTCATAATCTAAAAACAACAAACCTGCACTAAGTCCATATAGTCCATCCGGTAAAGTTGATCACCAGGCACAATAAGTATATTATCAATGTCCTTGTTCCTCACATCCTGCATTAATTATTTTCACTCTGAGGCTCAAAATCCTAATAACCAGATTTTCAGAAATCCTACTCTCATTCTTCTTAATAACGGTCGCTCTAGATAAAATCTTGTTTTCAGAGTCGCCTTTTTTAAAAATATCTTATATCAAAAACTCAGACACACAATATCACTTAACAAGGCCGACTAGGCCATAAGCCCATACGGGCATAAGGCACTTGAGCACCTCAAATACCCAACTAAATTTCCTGACAGCATCAGCCGGCCCTTGAAACCATTTCATTCCTGCTTCTCCTGATGTCTGAGTTGCTGCTAAAACCTATATAGGCACGTTTTGTCAGTCAATAAGCAAACTTTTAAAGCTTAAATTAGGGGAATTGAGCATAGATAGAGGTTTGAAACCTCTACAAACCCATCGCCCAAGCTCACACCATTTCCGAAGTAGGTGCGTGCAATGTGACGGTTGAGAGGCGCAGAATTGAATTGGGTCGACACGAAGATCTTGTTAATTCCACTGTTAATGCAATTGCTCATTGGGAAGTCAATCATCCTATAACATCCTCCGACCGGGACCTATATATTGTTAAGCCATTCCACATCAGAAAGCAGTAAAATTAGAAATCCAACATGTGAGGCTTTAGACTACCACTTTTATGAGGTTGAACTAATCAAATCTGAAATCTTAATAGTTAATACACATCATGCCCAATAGAAGAATCAGTTCTTTGAACAATCATGAAGAGCAGCATAAAAAAACATCAATTTTTCAACCACAAGTAAGAAAAGATATGATAAAAACTATGCATGGACATGAGGGAAACACAGAAAAATCTTACAGCAGCAGTTGCAGTCCTATTCGTAAGCGGGAATAACTGGGTCCCAGCACCCTCTCCCAGTATGAATGCAGCCACATTTTTAGGGTTTGCTATATCTCTCTCCATTCCTGGTGCTTCAACACTCTAAATGACAGCACATGATCCAGTAAGATTCATTCAACGGATCACAACGCACTGTGTGATCAAGAATGCCTAAATAACTGAGGATTTTAATGTTAAATAAATGCCCAAAACCTCGTGTTTTAAAGTGATGATTGGTTTTGTATTGATTTGGAAAAGAGCCAAACACAACCATATCGATTTCTACCAATTCTATGCAAGTATGCATTAAGAAAATGAGAAGCAAACGTGAAATAACTACAGAACGACAACACAGTAGCTTTACCATCTTTTATTTTATTGGTTTGCAAGACTATGTTTTACTTTGTTGAATTTCAAAATGAATTGTTGTTAATGATAAAAACTAATTTAGTTATCTTATTATTTGAAGGCGAAATTTTCCTCCATTCCTACTTCCTTAGATAGTTATGATTTACCAGATTTGACTGAAGCAAAGTTAAATCTCTTAAATTTACATACACAAAAACTAGACTATTGGAGTATGCTAAACTTGATTTTGAGTAAGGTAAAACCTGAGTGCCTGACTGGTGAATAGTAAATTGACACTCCTTTTAAAGAGGAAGGGAGCAACTTTAATAAATGAGAGTATGAGACCAGTAAACAATAAAAATGGTTAAAAACATACCATAGTATCATTGCCATTTCCTCCGGAGAGAACAGAGAAAGCAAATCCTGGTTTCATATCTCTTTCTGTTCTTTCAGTTTTGAATCTTTTAGAGAACTGATTAGCCAAAACATTTTTCTTCATCGTCCCTTTGCTCTTCTTCCACCAAACTTCATTCTCCCTTGCAAATGGGGTTGCAAAATTCAGAGCTGCAGAAAAAGCTTCCATTAACGTTCCAGTCAACAAGAATCTACCACTCTAGCTCCAAGGTTATAGCTTATAACCGTTATTATAATATCGAGAAAATTAGTGCAAACCTGGGACAATCGACAAACACTATAATAAGCAACCAAGCAAAGTATAATTTTAGAACGGAAATGCATAAAGGGTGATATGGAAGCTAGAATATACATAGAAGAGTAAGGTATAAACAGTGAGAATAAATGAACAAACTTTTCTTCACAATCATGCCAACACATCGAGTACTAGAGTTGTTTGATGAGAATCATTTCTATTAAAAGAGTAGAGCATACGTAGTATAATTACCAATTAAAAAAAATATCACTTTTTTGTTCTTGACTTTAATTGGAGGTAAGTCTCTAGCGGGAAATTTTGCAGCGATGATAATAATATTCTTGGTATATTGCTCGTTTGTTCGCTTTATTAAAAACATGGGGACGTTTACGTGAAAAATGTAATGCCTCGATCTGTAGTTCTTTTTTAATTACAATACACAATTTTAATTGTAATTATATTCAATGGAGTTTGCTACGGTACCTTACATATTTAAGGGTACAATACCTTTGCTTATGTGGCCAAATAATATATCGACAACTGGATATGAAGACTGGGCATTCAATTTAAGAAAAATAAATTTTGCAGTTTAGTCTTTTAGAGATAGACAGCAAACGGCTGCTTCAAACAAGTAACGGAGGTATCTTTTGTTCGGACGCTTCCCGTTTCCTACTCTCCACTGCAGTTAGTCCTAATTTCTAATTATACTTAGTAAGCCATATATTGCTTCCCTTTTTAAATATTATTATACTTCTGAGTCTGAATGAGCGGATCCATTTCAGAAAAAAAAATCATCTAAGCCCATCTACTCAAAAAATCATCACATGAGTATATTTACTACGGAGTATTTAAAAACGATCAAGTAAGTCAACTGACCGGAAATCAACGCCCTGTAGTTGGTTATTCTATCTTTACGTTTTTTTCCTTCTCTTGCTGCGGACTACTCCAATTGGTTAACATTTTGTTTCTTTTTCATTTTCTCTTTTTTCTGAACCGTGCCCTATCTTACGTTTCTTATATAAATTTATAAATTTTGAGGCCATTTGGCAACACTTTTTTCGGCTCATCAGGCTTATCCGCCAACTTTTTCACCAAACATGTAATTTTTGTTTTCGCGCGCTGAATTGTGTAATAAGCAGAAAAAGTAAGGTTGTAGTTACTTTTCTAGCTGCATTGGCTGAAGTTACTGTAGATGACCATTTTCGCTATTTTTACATATAATTTTTTCTTTATTTTATTAGTAAAATATATTTTAAAAATAATTTTTCTTAAATCAGCAGAATCAGCCAATGCAGCTGCTTCAACCAGAACTTCATAAATTTAAGCAGAATCAGCCAAAACAGCTGATTTTCGTGCTACCAAACGGGTTCCTTCATCCTATTATTTCATGTTTTCAATGTAACTGTTTGCATTTTTAGTTTTTTTCTTCCTTTTAATTTCCCTTGTTTTCTTTTTTATCCGTTGTCTTTCTCCCAAGAAGTATGTTGTGACATTCTGTGGAGATGATTTCAATACATTATTATGACTCATAAATGAAATAATTACATATGAAGTATTAATAACTAAAATCAATATTTTCTTATAGAAATATGACTAGTGACTAGAATAGTAATTAAACCGTAGTAACATATATTTATTTTAAACTTAAGTTATAATGACGCTACATTGTATTAACTATTAGTCATGTTCATTCTTTGGAAAAAAGGGAGTTTCAGCCTAGATTACTCCAGACTCCCCCAACCCCCCAACCCCAGACGTCCCCTGGAGTAAAAAAAAAACTGGTTTTTAAACAAGGGAGTTATTTTGTAATAAAGATTCTCTTATTTTTAAACAAATTACATTTGAGTTTTTTTCTGAAATAATGCAAAATAAAAATTATTTACAAAATTAGAATTGAGTAAAAACTATTTACCAAAATACTGCTGGGTGTACTATGGTTCCACAAAAGTCACCCAATGAAATGGCGACTTACAAGTCGCCTATTGGTTTGGCGTCTTTGCCTAATGCTGGTACACAAGCCGCAGGAAGAGAGAGACACATTCATGGGGCCCATGGTTTAAAAATCACAAATTTTCTTTAAAGGTTTATAACTTTTTATTTTTTGTTCCAATTTAAATAAAAAATATATCAAAATTTATAACTTTTTATTATCTTTCATATGACACCAATATTGAATATGTAAATTTTAAGAAATTTTTAAGGCTTCTTAAACAATGTTCTTATTTTCCAATTTTCATATGGATTATTTCATACTCCCTCCGTCCTATTGGACTTTGCCAACTTTCCTTTTTTACTTGTCTCAAAAAACTTTGTCACTTTCCTATTAAAGAACTAATTTGTGGTACTGCACATTTCTCTCTCCTTTGCACAAATTTCAACCACACAGTTTTTACTATTCTTATTTTTCACCTACTTTGCACTTGGCAAAGTCTATCGGCACAGAGGTAGTATTATATAATGAAACAATTCCTATTATTTTTAGAAACTAAAGAAAAGGGATGAAGATGTGACTTGATAATTTTTAGAAACTGTAGGTATTTTTAAATTTAATATAAATTTTATATTAATGTGGCTATAATTGTGTAAAAATCAAAATAAGTAAGGTTGTAGTTATTTTTCTGTATGAATTGTTGAATTTACTATAGATGACAATTTTAGTTATTTTCATATAATATTTTATTTATATTTAATTTTTTTTAGACGATTCTGCTAAATTACTAAACAGCTGTATCTAAAATATATTTCATTAAGCCAAAAACTAATAAAGCTATTCAACAATTCAATAGTTACAATTTTTTTGTGAAAATAACTACAATGATCAGTTGTAGTAAATACAACAATTAATTCAGAAAAATAACTATAATTTTATTTATTTTGAAGTTTACATAATTCAAAGCGTGAAATCAATACTTACATGTTTCATGAAAAAATAACTAATAAGCCTAATAAGCCGAGCGGTCATCAAAGAGACTCTAAATTGATTATGAGCACGTTTGGTAACGCTGAAATCGGCTGAATCGGCTGATTCTGCTCAAATGTATGAAGTTCTGGCTGAAGTGGCAGTATTGGTTGATTCTGATGATTTATGCAAAAAAATTAAATTTAAAATATATTTTATTAATATAATTAATAAAGTAAAGATAAAAATTGGATGTAAAATTAGCTAAAATGATCATCTACATTAACTTCAACCTATATAGCAAGAAAAGCAATTCTAATCTTACCTTTTCTTATTATTGCACATTTGAGAGCAGGAAATCAAAAGTTACGTGTTTAGTGAAAAAGTTGACTGATATAAAATTTGAACATAAGTATAGTTTCTAAAAATTATAAAGTCACATCTTCATTCCCTATCTTTAGTTTCTTCATATAATAGGAACTATCTCTTTATATAATACTCCCTCCTTCTCGCTATGATTGTCTCATTTTACCATTCCGGTCCGGATGATTCAAGCGGGATTCGGCATTTTTGAACTCCCACTAAGATTGTCTCATACATTATTTGGTAAAGTTTGTGTGGTTCTAAATCATTCCTACTTTATTCTTACTTTATCAATTCAATATCAACCACATAAACTCACTTTTATTAATAACTGTGCCGCTTCTCTTGTCCCAAACATAGCGGGACGGAGGTAGTATGAAATAATCTATATGGAAATTGAAAAATAAGAAAGTTGTTTAACAAGCCTTCAAAATTTTTTAAAATTTACATATTCAATATTGGTGTCATATGAAAGATAATAAAAAGTTAAGAATTTTGATATATTTTTTATAAAATTTGGAGCAAAAAATAAAAAGTTATAAACCTTTAAAGAAAATTTGTGATTTTTAAACCATGGGCCCCATGAATAGTGTCTCTCTCTTCCTGCGGCTTGTGTACCAGCATTAGGCAAAGACGGCAAACCAATAGGCGACTTGTAAGTCGCCATTTCATTAAGTTAAACCCAGCAGTATTTTGGTAAATAGTTTTTACTCAACTATAATTTTGTAAATAATTTTTTATTTTGCATTATTTCAGAAAAAAACTCATTACATTTTAACTATCTCAATTAAGGGTGACAGCTGGTCAGATTTATACCGGGTGAAAGCTCATCCACGTCCATCAGTTAATTTTTCATATTCCACCAACCCGTCAATCATTTATTTAAAATTACTGCCACATCCAACCCATCCATCACGAACGAGTTATCGACGGGTAGATCGGTGAGTAACAGGTGGATATAAATGGTCAACTTGAAAGACAAAATAAATAAATTATAAAGAGAAATCAAGACAATTAGGGCTCCAGTAATATTCGAGTCACATTTATATATGCTACTCCATATAACAAATACATATTTATTGATATATTAATATTAATTATTATATACAATGATATATTGTTAAATAGATATTATGTGTATATAAATATTATCCCTGTCCCAAAAAACTTTGTCATTTTCAAAACTTTGACCAACTAAATCTTTTTATTGAAAATTATTTACAATATAAAAATTATATGAAAAATGTTCTTTGTTAAAAGTACTTTCATAAAAATATAAAATTTATAGCTTCCATAATGTTATATTAATCAAAATCACCGTTCAAATTTTTTGAAATGGCACAGTTTTTTGGGACGGAGATAGTATATATTTATATGTGGGTAAGCGGGTGGATGGATGGAGCGGGTCACGGGTCGGGTGATGGGTTGGATGAGTATTCAGTCACCACGCACCCGTCTTTCAACCCACCGTCATCTATTTTTCATCCATATTTTTTCGAGTTTTCGTCCATATTTTTGGTTTGGGATGACCAGGTATCCGCGGGTGCGGGTGATATTGTCAGTCCTACTCTCAATTATTAAATGGAATCTTACTCTTAGAATTTGAATTAACACTGTTAAGATTGTAATTTTGTGATTTTGACATGGTTAAGATTGTAACTTTAAACACCGTAAAAAATTTAAGAATTCTCGAAATATGAGTAAAAATGTTTTAAAATTCCGAAATAGAATTGTCATATTTTTATTACCCACATAGGAGTGATAACTACCAATTTGGAAGATGCTTCCATATTTGAAGTCTGATATTGTCAAAACATGGAAGCAATTACTTCTATTTAGGAAATAAAAACATGACAATAATATTTTGGCAGGAATACACAAACATTTTTACTGCTATTTAAGGCCAATTTACCTTAAAAAATTATCACTTCGTACACATTTCTAAAAAAACCACATTACCAATGTATTTTTGTCTCTAAAGTTAGGCCATACAACAAAAATGTCAATCATAAAATTCAAATTTTATAGATAATAATAGTGTGACACAGACAAAAAATATTACATTCGGAATACTAGGTAAAAAATTGTATACTTTTTTTTCACATTTTTAAAATTTGCATCAACAATTTTTGTAGGTAAATATAGGCCATAGATAAACACGTCCATTAGAGAATCCAACTTTAATAACAGCAAATTTCTAAACAAAAGATGTTTCAAGCACGATAAAAAATTGTACATTTTTAGCCACACATTTCTAATTTGTAAAAGTGGATTTTACACTTTTTTTTATTTGTTCTCTAACTTAAAAAGAATATTTGAAGAAGACAGCAAATAAAAAAGAAACAAGTGAAAAAGAACAAAAAACTAAATATACATACCGTTGGACATGAAATGATAGGATGAAGAAAAGGACAAAATAAAGATAACAACGTAAGTTGTAAGATATAGGCCACAATTGAGAAAAAGAAAAAAGCAAAAGAAAAATCAAAAAACAAAACAACTGAAGGAGTGCGAAACAAGAGAAGAAGCAAAAAGAAAAAGAAAAACTAAAATGAGAGTAACCTGCTACAAGAGGTAGAGTTCCGATCAGTTGATGCATGTGATTGTTTTTTTACTAGTAAATGCACCTATGTGATGATTTTTTTAGTACAAGGGTTTAGATGATTCTTTTACAAAAGTATATGGGTGTATTTGACCCTTTTTCCAAAAGATAATAGTTATGCAGCTAAACCATAGAGGTATTTGTCTTATTTTTTCTCATTTTGTTTTCAGGCTGAGTATCAATTTTAAGGTATCCTTACATCTTTCATGTGTTGATAGAATTGCCCATAGCAGAATGCTTTTATTTATTCATATCTGTACTGAGGTAGTGTTTGTTATAACGGAATGTCGGAATGCATTTGAGCTGATATGGTACCTGCCAGGGGCAGTGGCGGAACCAGTCCGAGTATCTTGGAGGGGCACATATTGGGAAAGGAAAGGTCTTTGGCAAGCGGCAAGGCGGGCAGCTTGCTGCGACCCTAGATTTCCGGTGTCCTTCAAGGTCGGCGTTGACAAGAGGAATGCCGAAGGGGTGATGTTGTGTACTATGAGCTATACGGAAGCGGCTGCGTCGGCCGTCTATGCCGTTGTGCATGGCTTTCTGCACAACAGAGATTTCTGAAAGGCTGCAATTCAAGGCGACTAGCTTTTTATTTTTATTTTATTTTATCTTTATTTCAATGGCTTGAGGACGGCGACAAATGTCGGAAAAAATGTCATGTATATTATTAACAGAGTTTCCTTTGATAAAACCATACTACGTAGTATTTATTTTTTTGAACAAAATATTACTAGTCACTATGTACGAGTAATTGAACAAGAGTCAATATGTAACCAATAACCAGTCACTCACTCATTGAATATGTAACTTTTTCAGAAAATTTTCAAATAAATTATACTTTTTCTTTTAAATTTAATTGCGTAATATTGACACAAAAAGGCTTTTGAAATGTGATACTTGTATAACTTTATATCCAAGCTACTACGTATAATTCTACATATTTCGGGTAAAATGCACCAAACACCTCCATGTTATATAAATCATGCACATTGTCCCCTTCTGTTTTCAAAAATACACCAAACCCATTTATGTTTTGTAAAATCATGCACAAAATCCCTTAAAGAGGCGAGTTTAATGTACGTGTATCACATTTGCTTTTTGGTGCGATTTTTTAATCTAATTTCAGCTTCTTGAGCTAAGTAAATGTCAAATTTACCCTTTTACATGAAATAGACAGCTCTCATTTTTTTTTCATCCATTGTAATATACGTAGTATGAAAGAGCATTAAGAAACCAAGGATGCAAATCCAAAACTAAATATAATGCATGTTCCATGTCAAGTTCATTTAGGGCCATTTGGTAACACTGTTTTTCATCTTATCGACTTATCATCCAAATTTTCACCAAACACGTAATTTTTGTTTTCGCACGCAGAATTGTGTAATACTACGTAATAAGAAAAAGTAAGGTTAAAGTTACTTTTCTGGCTGTATTGGCTGAAGTTACTATAGATGATCATTTTAGCTTTTTTTAGATATAATTTTTTCTTTATTTTATTAATAAAGAATATTTTAAAAATAACATTTTCTTAAATCAACAGAATCAGCCAATGCGGCCATTTCAGTCAGAACTTCATAAATTTCAGCAGAATATAAACTGAATCAACCGATTTTCGTGTTACCAAACGGACTCTTATTTTAACAAGCAACCATTTTTTGGTGCCTAAACAATGACAAGAAAAATAGTACAAACAACACAAAAGACTAAATATAAGGACTAAACAACGGAAAATATCAATACTAACATCACAAAATAAAAAACTACATGCTTGGGAGCTCATAAAATCAATATAAAAACAGTGTTTTACACAAGTTTAATATATTCCAAAAAAATATAAGCACAAATCCATTCAAAAAAGAGAGTTCAATTACCAAAATCGATTACGTAGCCTTTATTCTTAATGTTGTTGACGATGGCTTTTTGGATGGTTGAACAGTTGGATACTTGGATGGGTTTTAATCCATGGTGTAGCCGGTGGTGTAGTGCCGCTGTGTCGGAATTAAAAGGGGTATAAATGGAAATTCAGAAAATAGAAAAAATGGTTAAATACTTATCTACATAAGGGGAATGTGAGCATGATTAATCAAAACTGAAGGGGGTTTCATGCTTTTTCAATAACACAAGGGGATAATTTGCATGTTTTTTATTACATGAGGGGATTTTGTGCAATTTACCCACATATTTCTTATAAAAGTTTATTCACCTATTTCAATGCCACGTACCCCACAAAAAGTCCAGCAAAGTCTACAAAAATTCCTTCGGCTGTACACTCTTATAGTCTTATCCGTATTCCAACTTTTCCAAGCATTGGCAGCAGCCAACACGTCAAGACTCAATTAGAGGGCTGGATATATATGCGTAGTATATAACATATCTCATATATAGATATACATAAAGAACATACCGCAGGCCGCAGGGGCACAAGCCCCTCCGGGCTCCTACATAGTTCCGCCCCTGACCAGGGGTGGAGACAGGGAGGGGCTGGAGGTGGCCATGGCCCCTGCAAGATTTTTTTTAAGTATATATTATATATAAATACTTTTAATTTGTAAAAAGTATGTTGATATTTTAAACTTTGACTTCTGCAATGTAAAATTTTTAAAGACCGGTCCCTTTAACCCTAAATGTCTGGCTCCGCCACCGGTACCTGCCAATGCTTCCTTACCTTCTATCAAAAGTGGGAATGTGGATTCAATAAGAAGTCGATTAAATCCTATTTCAACACTCTCCTGAGAAAGTAACAAATGCCTCCTTACAGTGTTGTTCCTCCTTTAGGTTGGACTTTTAGAAGCTGGTCCAACATGAAACCAAATACTAATAATATTCTATGAATATTGGAAAGTATGGATAGTAATGACGTCCAAGAGATGAAGATTTTCTAAACCAAAGCTCAATAAAGCTTCATTTCCGAAACTGTTTAAGTAAGCAACGTATCTGTGCAATTCGCGTTTTGCATTCCTCTAATGGTCTGATTTGCAATTCTAGCCAAATTGTATTTTCAGTCGGTTGGTTTTTTCTTGTGATGCACTCCCCACGGTCAATCCGTGAGACCGAGAGTCAGTCTTAAACCATCAACAGGCCAAATTATAGAGAATCTCCTTACTTCACATCATCAAGATTCTATGCACATAAGTGTCACGCCCAGGACCTACCCGGACACGTCAACAATCCGCCGTACAGTACGAATAGTCAATCGCAGTCCAACACACCATACTATACAAGGCGTCTGGAATATCATTCACACATAGTACATCCATAAACAAACATAATATAAATTATTCAATTAAAGCAGCGGAAACATTTATTTCAAGTGTTTATGCCACACTTGGCAACGAGGAAGCACGAACCACATCTTCTCTCGTTGAATCTTCCCGAGCAACGGGCAACGATAGCAACCTTCAAGTTCTACCTGAAACTGTGAGGTAGCCTCCCCCGTGAGGGGAGGTCGGTACTTTGAAGCATTTGAAAAGTACAATGACAACTATACTAAGTATAATCAATGTTTCAACTTCTAAAACCCTCAATCTAGGGTATTATTACATTATAGTTAACCCTGTTCATTTAATATCAATTCACCGTGCTAGAGCCCTACTTCTAGTCACTTCTACGTCGGTCTAGAGCCTTGCTCATAATCACCGCTATTTACATCGGTCTAGAGCCCAACTTATAATCACCGCTATTTACATCGGTCTAGAGCCCGACTCATTATCACCGCTACTTACATCGGTCTACAGCCCAGCTCATAATCACCGCTACTTACATCGGTCGAGAGCCCAGCTAACTCATAATCGCCGCTACTTACATGGGTCTAGAGCCCAACTCATAATCACCGCTACTACGTGCTAGAGCTTGCTCTAGTCACGTCGTTTAATTATCTAAACAATTTATTGGCCTATACTATGTCCATAAATTGAGGTGGACTCGGGTCGGGCCGCCCGACCAGGAACCGGCCCGAGCCGGTACTGTTTGGGCCCGGCCCGGTACCTGGTCTTGGGGCCGGTTCGGGCCAACCGGAACCGCCCAACTCCCGGTTCGGGCTCAGGCCTTGAAAATGTTGAACCGGCCCGGCCGGTTCTGGCCATTTTTTTTTTTTTGTTTTTTCGATTTGTTTTTGTTTCTACCGGTATTAGAATGTTGATGTTTAGAATGTTTTCACTTCAATGCGGAAAGGCATTATCTGATCTACTTAAATTTTGTCGTGCCTGGTATTGTTTATGATTTTATTTGATCAAATAGATAGTATATTTTGTGTAACTTGATTTGCTTATATAGTGAATCTAAATACTTTGGTTTTCTAGTGAAATCGTCTACTCCCTTCGTCCCTATATAAATATTCCGCATTGAATTGCACATATATTAAGAAAAAAGTTCTATTAACTTCCTGAAAATGCTCATTTACTAATTAAGGAGAAAAGAATTCTATTAAGGTTCACAAAAAGTGGAAATTTTATTTAGGGAGGGAGAGAATGAGTGTGTTTGCATTTAACGGTAATGGGTTAGCGGATACCGAGTTATGTTGGCGGGTTGTCAATAGCGGATTCACTCACCGAATTTGACTGGCGGAATAAGTTGGCAGGTTGCATAAAAATGTTGGTAATTTAGTTGTTTGGGCATAAAAATTAATAGAAAACAACATATTTCAAAACGCTAACTCAAAACTCTCTTATTTGCAGTGTTTTTATTTCAATGGTTCTGTCCTATGAAGCACGGATACTTCACTAAGGTAGCGTATCGGCGTATCCGATACGTTCCCGTATCCGATACTCTAGGATACCCGTACCGTACGTTCCCGGGCCGTATCTGCAATTTTTAAAAGTTTCCACTTTTTTTTTGTAATTTTTTGAAAGTTTCCGATACTCATATCCTGACGGATACCCGTATCAACTTTTTTTAAAAAAAAAAAATTCCAAAATTTACTTGATAAAATTCTAAAAAAGATGAAAATCTAAAACTACATTTTACTTGGTAATCAAATAATGGGCCTATATGGTTATATCCGAATTAAGTCATTAACTCATACTCCGAATTGGGTACTTGCACTTTTAATTTCAAGATTGTAGTTGTTTGACTTATTTCTCGTTTTAAATTAATGACTTGTTGACTACATTTATGTTTCGAGATACACTAGTGTATATGAGAAATATTATGAATTTATTACTAAGTATCTTGAAAAAGGAAAATGTTTCAATGCAATGAATGGGTAGACATCATAGCATATTATATGTATGTATGTATATATGTGTGTGTGTATATATATATATATTCAAAAAAAATCTATTTTTAATATTTATAAATAGACCCCTATAACTTTTAATATTTGTAAATACACCCCCATAACTTTTAATATTTATAAATATGGCCCTGTATCCGTATCCTACTTTTTTTGGTTTTGACGTATTCTCGTACCCGTTTCCGCGTTTCCGCGTTTCCGCGTACCGGTATCAGTGCTACATAGGTTCTATCCAAAAACGCTTGGAAGTGGTTAAATGTGGTTTACCTTCCAGTTAAGGGAAGGAGCGGAGTGGCACATGGTGGGGGTACACCTTTAATTAGACATTTAATCTCGGTACTTGAAAAGTACTCCACATTAGGGGTGCAAACGAGCCAAGCCGTTCGCGAGCCGCTCGTGGATCGCTCGGGAAAAGCTCGACTCGAGTTCGGCCATATTCAAGTTCGGCTCGAGTTCGGCTCGACTCGTATACTAAACAAGCTCGAGTCAAGCCTCTTTGTTTTAGGCTCGTGGCTCGCGAGCCGGTTCGCGAGCCTTGATGTTGTATATATATATACTAGTTTTGTAACGCGCATTGCGCGATAGGTATATGCCCAATATGAATTTTATAGCACTGCTATTATGATATAATGTCAGTTAGTGTAATTAATTGAGTTGTATGAATTTGGCACAAAATTTTAGTTTATTAGGATATAACTGATTCAAGAAACATGTTTTATACATAGTGGTTGAATTGAGAGTTGGAGATTTTTTAAAATCTTAAAATATTAGAAAAAAACAAACATCACATGTCTCTTCTATGAGCATATGTGGTAGAAGTCATTCATGTGAAGGATCACATTGCATGAATATAGCGGTAGAGCAGGTGATTTGAACAATTCAGTTGGATTCAGGGGCTTATTTGACCCCTTGATCGAGTTGCAGCATCAGATGCACAGTTCGCACATGACCTGATGATGTGGCGTTGACCGGATGGTTACCTCTAAATGGTTAAATATGAAACTTTTTATCAAGTTCAGGGTGCCAACTATTTTTTTTTTCGTTCAGGGTGCGAATTGAGCATTCCGAACGAGTACATGAGCATATTTGACCCTTTAGCCCATGAATATATGTAAAACATCAACAATTTGTTAACAAACAATTTCATCTACAAGCAGCATATATTATAAATGTTATAACCCATTATGACCAGCATAGATAATAATAAGTAAAAATTAGATGGTTGAGGTTTGTGCAGAGGATAGATGAATAACATGAACCACAAAATAATTGATTAAAAGATAAAGTGACAATGATTTTTGGGACGTCTCAAAAGGGAAAGATGACAAAGTTCTAAGAAACGAAGGGAGTATTAGCATATCTAAAGTATCATGCGCTAAAAGGTTAACATTTTAAAAGTTAATTGATGTTCATAACAAATTATCTATTTACAAAAACAAAAAAGCTACTCCTTCCGTATTTTAAAGATCTATACGTTAGGTTATGACACAAGATTTAAGGGAGAATAGTAGGAGTCATGAATCAACATTTCATTTTCATCTACCCCAGTCTTACCTATGTACTAAAGCATAGAGAGACTGTTTCCTGATGACCCATAGTGAAAATCGCGTCCAAAATTGCATTGACTGACTATTGTTTCATAACAAAGAAGCACAGACAATTTAGTGAGTCATTTTGCTTTATTCAATCATATTTTCAAAAAAAATTGAATCTTTGACTCTATTGCAAATAATGGAAAATGAATAGTAGGAGTAATGAATTGTATAGAAAAAGTAAGAGAGAATTTGAAAAAGCAGGAAAGAAAGAATAAAAAGTATTCCGTGGAAAAAATAAGGGTAATTGAGTTTCTTTAACGGAAAAACTTAGCAACATGGGAAATTGTATGGAACTTTTAAATACATTCCCAAATGAAAAGTGTATGAAACTTTAAAACACGGAGTGAGCATTATATTTTAATTGTGTTTAGCAAAATTTGAAATTAAAATTTAAAACAAAGAATCTTTGAAAAATGATAAATGAACATTAAGAACAAATGGATCAAAAAAGGGAACTACAATCGAGCATTCGAGCATCAAATGAAAAGTACTATTCATATTATGTATTATGAGGTAGAAAATCTAAAACCGTGACCAGCCATTTGAGGAAGTAAATCAAATATGGAGTAACTTACAGCTATACGACACTGGAAAAATTACATCAAATGATATCTTAAAAAATGATTAAATGATTAAATGAACTCAACGGAAATGAATCGGGGAGGCACCGGCAAAGAAAGGGCAAAAGTGATGTTGGATCAATAGATCGTTACGGTTCAGCCTTATTCTAACGGAAGTATAAACGGTAACTCATGGAATAAAATAAGAGTACAACTCGTAAAGCTTAGAGTGCAAATATGTATTGCTCTAATATTACACCAACACATTTCATATGTCTTAAATGGCCTAACTCTCATTGGCTATTATAAGTTTTTAAGATATATAATTTTCGGAATAGTTATTCTAATTTAGGATTACCTTTTTCTTAATACTTATTACTACGTATATTATAATCGAAATAATTTAATGAAACATTATTTATTATTAATCATTATTTATAATAATTATAATATATAATACGAAGTGAGTATTAGTTTTTTGTTAGTTCACTAGGAATGAGAATACAATAAATTAGCATCAGAACAAATTACACAAACGTGTTGGTAGGCTGGGTGGAAATCTCTTTCAGGCTTCATGTGCCACCCGAGTTCGAATCCCTTTCGGCCAGTTTTTTGTGTACTCCCTACTCCATTTGTGTATTTAGTTTTTTGTGTACTCCCTACTCCATTTGTATTTAGTTTCTAATCTCTAAACTTCCCACACCGGAAAGTGCTGCAAATTTCCTTTAGCAGCCAGCTATAAACCACCTCATATCCATGAGAACAATTGAGCAACAACCAAGTCGCAAATCACCAAATTTTGATGAAATGGCTCGTTTACACCCTGACTCCACATGTATGATGAGCTTTTAATTTAAGTTAGGCTTTTACCTTATTTTTGAATTTTGCGCAATCCCAATTGGTACATCTCCATTGCCAAGAAGAAACGCAATCTCAGATTCTGTCTCGTAATAATCTGCCCCCATCATCAGCGACTCCTGATGGGTTAGAAAATACGATAGTATAAAAACTAAAGGTAGATTAATGAGAATGATGAAGTTGAATTATTTAAATCTAAATTACAAAAGGATATAATAATTTGGACCAATCAAATTTATGATACGTATGGTACCCCATTTTTTAGATGGGTACCGAAGTTGTCACCAAAATTAAATTGGGGAAATTGCTTGCAATATATGGCCTAATAAATGTCTAACTAGTTTGTTATTTTTGACTTAACGGTGTTTTATACTCCGTTAATAAAACTTTTATTTGAGTGAAATTACACTTTTACTCCTTCAATTATTACTTATATTGAAATCAAGTATTACTATAAAATTGAACTAACACTGATAAGTATTTGTAATTTTCTTACAGTTAAGATTGCAACTTTAAATATGGTAAAAATTATTCATTTTTCGTACAATTTTTATCAAACTCTAAGGTTAGGCCATACGACAAAAAATGTCAGTCATAAAATTCAAATTTTATAGACAATAATAGTGTGACCCAGACAAAAATGTCACATTGTATACTTTTTTAATTTAAAATATCTAATATTTACATATTTAATCTGCAAAAGCGGATTCTTCAAATATTTTGTGTGTATGCTCTAACTTAACAAAAAGAAATTATTGGTACAAAAGATTATGTCATGTAAAATTAGATTATTTCGACCAATATTTTTTATCTGTCACCTAAGTGCGGAAGTATTGTTATTTTTCGACCAATATTTTTTATCTGTCGCCTAATTTTAGTGCGAAAAAATTGTTAATGCAAAAGATTTTGAAAATGTATGTGTACAAAAGTATGTGTGTAGGCTATTGGAGGGAGGCAAAGAGAGGCAAAACATGCAAAGAGAGGCTACTGATTACTTTTTCTCATCAAATACACATAACGGACCTTGGATTGTAGAGGAGTCATATGGGGCATGGCTACGTGCAGATACGAGACGAGGCAGTGTGCAACCCGGGAACAAGTGGCTGATTCTTAGTGGTAACAATCTAGTGATCAACATGAGGCTTCTAAAAGCTTTGGTGATCCGAGCAGAGCTTCGGCGGGTCAGGGCAGTCACATGGTGTAGAGTTTAATCTCAAAGTGTAAGGAATTGGCTATTGAAGAGGAAGAGTCAAGGAAACGCAGGGTGATCGAAGTGGATAGTAATGAAGGTGTTCGAGCAAGCATGCACGTAGATGGAGCAGTTCCAAAAAACTTGCAGGAGGCGGTGCTTTCTGGGAAGCGCCGCCTATCGAGAAAATTAGTGCAAACCATGGACAATCGACAAACACTATAATAAGCAACCAAGCAAAGTATAATTTTAAAACGGAAATGCATAAAGAGTGATATGGAAGCTAGAATATACACAGAAGATTAAGGTATAAACAGTGAGAAGAAATGAACAAAGTTTTCTTCAAAATCATGCTAACCCATCAAGTACTAGAGTTGTCTGATGAGAATCTTTTCTAATAAAAGATTAGAGCATATAATTCACCAATTAGTAATTGACATTTTCCCGCAGCTCCAACTCAGAATCGAGAAACAAAAGAAAATTAGAAAATACATAAAAATAATTCACTTTTTTTGTTCTTGACTTTAGTTGGAGGTAAGTTTCTCGCGGGATATTTTGCCGCGATGATAATAATATTCTTGGTATATTGCTCGTTTGTTCGGTATATTAAAAACATAGGGACGTTTAAGTGAAAAATGTAATGCCTCTCTATTGTTCTTTTTACGGATACACTTCTTTTTTAATTAAGATACACAATTTTGACTGTAATTATATTTTATTACATATTATCAAACATTATAAATTTTTTTATCTCTCTCGTTGTCAAAACTAGTAAACTCACCCGTGCGATGCACGGTCGGACAATTTTCCTTCAAATTTATTTTTGCTCAATAATTCAAATTACACTATCAATTGATGAGATCATATATCTCAATGAAATATTAATATAACTTCAAACAATAAACACAACACACTTATAATATATATTATAGTTAAAAAGAGAGCACTAACCATTACTTAAAAGATAAAAAACATCCAACAAATACTTATAAACCATAACATTGTAAATATACATTTCACGTAACCCTAAACATTGTTGAACACTTTTTGAATACAACATTCTGAGTCTTGTCAGTGGTTCCTTCTTCATCAATACCCGTGCGATGCACGATTGGTGAAATTTCGCAGATATAATTAACATTAGCCAATATTTTAATTAAAAAATAAACAAAATTGTAATTTTAATTGAATTGTTTAGAATTATACTACATACAATAATAAAACTTGACGTAAATGAAACATATAAAATACAATTTACTAATGATTACAGAGTAGTACATTATTTTTTATATCCCACAAAATAGTAAGTAACACGCAATATAAACATCATTTGAAAACAAATTACATTTCATGGCAAATTTTATGAAACACTTCTTTATACCTTCTGTCTAGCATTAACCCTTGTTAAAAGGGAAATTAACTAAATAGGACAAAAAAAATTATGTATTCCAAAATTGGACCTTAAGCATGACAATATTTTTCAAACTTGACATTAATTACGCCTATTTTGGAATATGAGTAAATAAGTTTGAGAATTCCAAAATAAGATTGTCATGTTTTTTATTGCCAAAATCAAGGGTCTATATATGTTAACTGAAGGTATAAATTTTCAAAATAAAATTTTTGGAATTGCATTATCTAGACGAATTGTTGATGTAACCTAGCAAACCAGAGGGTGTGCAGATATGTGAAAATGTGTGATGTCTTTATCTATACGAATTGGATTATTTAGACTAATTGCTGATGTAACCTAGCAAATCAGGGGGTGTGCAGATGCGTGAAAATGTGTTATGTCTTTATCTATACGAATTGCGTTATTGAGACGAATTGCTGATGTAACCTGGCAAATCAGGGGGTGTAGATATGTGAAAATGTGTTATGTCTTTATCTATATGAATTGCATTATTTAGACGAATTGCTGATATAACCTGGCAAATCGGGGGGGGGGGGGGTGCCAATATGTGAAAATGTGTTATGTCTTTATCTATACGAATTGCATTATTTAGACGAATTGCTGATGTAACCTGGCAAATCAGGGGGTGCAGATATGTGAAAATGTGTTATGTCTTTATGTATACGAATTGCATTATTTAGACGAATTGCTGATGTAACCTGGCAAATCGGGGGGGGGGGGGGGGGGGTGCAGATATGTGAAAATGTGTTATGTCTTTATCTATATGAATTACAATATTTAGACGAATTGCTAATGTAACCTAGCAAATTAGGGGGGTTTGCAGATACGTGTAAATGTGTTATGTCTTTATGTATACGATTATCTTTTGAATGGTATGATTTGCTTTTATTTATATCCCGTCATTGGATTAGAAAGCAAAAACTAATTACTTGAACTTGAAGTTAATTCTTTTTCCCTTTTTGTTGTTGATAAATCTAACTTTATTATAAAAAATTTCAAAGAGCAGGAAATTGTAGAAAAGTGATTAAAATAAATACATATAATCAATTATTTTGAGGGGGATCCGACATCTAAAGTCAATAAAGTAAAGATGCATGAAGAAAAAATGAAATGAAGGAAATGGAAGGGAAAGAAATTAATAGCTCCTTACAGGTTCAATGGGGCTTTTTGGAAACAACTTTTTACTAAGAGAATGGTCAAAATGTGTCTAAAGAAAGTACATCCTTACAGGTTCACTAGTACCATGTGATCTTTTTGGGATCATTACTTTTCATCCTTGTTATTCTTAAATTACAGGTACTTTCACAGATTGTGCAGTAAAAAGAGCAATACACACTTGCATGGATTCTTTGACCCTTAATTATATCATTTAAGATTTCGGAAACAAGCGTGATGAAATTAAACATACATATTAACTCACCTCAAGGACAACAAGGACTGCTATCTAGTACGATATTACTATCCGTAAGTACAAGTTTATTATAAAACCTAATTAATATCTAAGTAATTATCAGTAATAGTTTTATTTTCAGTCACCACTGGCAACTATTTGTATTGTGTCCAAAGCATGTTATTGTGTTTTTGTGCTCCTTGGGGGAATAAGCCAAATACTACTGTGAAGAGTGTTTTGAATATGTAAGTATATAATTTTGTTTATCAAATATTCAAATGTGTACTTTGATTGCGGCTCCAAAATCTATGACTTATTACTGTTTTTTTTTTTTAATTTAGGGCAATGCAAGCATATCAAATAGCCAAAAATAGGAGTTCCAAACCAAAATGGATTAAGCCGTAAGTATATTTTTCATACTTATCATGAAATGACGTAAGTTTTTTTTTTTTATAATTTTATATATTTGGGTTGATTTTGCATTATACTGAAAAGTTAATTATAATCATTATCTCATGTGTAGATTATGCATTATATTAAGAATCTGATTTGAGTATGCAAATAGTTATTCATTTTATATATGGTTGCTAATGGCAGTTTTTCTCAATTGCAAAATATAATGAGCAATGAATTGAGTATGTAGAGATCGATAAAGAATAAAGTAGCAATCTTTTTCGAAGACATTCACTTATGGTCCTTTGAGTTTTGCAACAATTCTACAATTAGTCCTCGTCCTTTACTTTATCCATTGTTGGTACTTGACTATTGTTTCTTGACCATATATAGTCCTTTTTCGGTAGTAAAAATGCTCAGAGATGGACCAAAAATATATAGTCAAGAAAACAATAGTCAGGTACCAAAAATGGATAAAGTGAAAGATGAGCACTAAATATATGGAAATGACACAAAACTCGGAGGACCTAAAGTGGAATTAATTCATCTTTTTCAGCTGCGAATAGTTATTCCATTTTATTTCATTTGAAATTTGTTTGGGTGAAAAATAATCATCACAGGAGAATTATTCATGGTTTCTTTGAGTTTGAGTTGGAACAATATGTCGCTTGGGAAATGGATATGAACACAAATATGCAACTTAGAAAATATGTCTAACCAAGTATTGATTAAAAATGTTTTTATTGTCAAAATGGTATTGTTATTTATTCCATGGGAAAGTATCTCTTCTTGCAGGTCTATGGGAAATTACGAGTTCATGTTTATGAAATTGGACTCTTAATCCGTTTGAAAACAATAGGACGTTAATTTTATGTCTTCTATCAAAAGCTGTCATAGTGTTCCATGGTGTCCTAAATCTGATTGTAAGTGAAAATGCCTTAAAATCTGATGTCGTAGTGTTCATGCTACAATACATTAATTAGTGTCGAATGCAAAGGGGAAGCCATGAGTGCCGGTATTATGTTATGAGGCATATGGATACTATAATATATGCGGTTGTTGATTCATGGATCGAGGTGATGAATTATTTTGAGTTGTGCTTCATCAAATTTATACTTAAAACTTTTATATTATATTTTTACTACACAATTTTACTTCTATTTTTATATTTTATTGAATGTGTTTCTACTTTTATTTTTTATTTTGCAGGCATTTAATGTTCTAGAGCCATTCAGGGAAGGAGACACTACAAGCACCTGCTCTTAAATACGATAATATTAGATATGGTTCTGTTTTGATATGTGTAGTATGAATTGTGATGGTATCATGTTGAACTTTATAATTTTGACTTGGATTGAACATGTGAAACTTTGTAGTTACGACTTGGAATTGATGGCACTAGTATTATGTGGAAATTTGTAATTTTGCTACGATTATCAATATATATTTGCCATGTTTAACACTTACTGATGTCATTTTATGTTGATTACAGCATAAAAGTAGGGTTATATAATGCATAATATGTGTAATGTAGGTTGTATGAGAAAAAAAACTCTATAACGGGTGTTAGGATAACCCATATAAAAAGGCTTTTATATGGGGTATTTATGAACTCACATAAAAAACAATCAATAAGGGTTAAACCGGTACCCGTTATAAAAAACTTTCTATAAGGGGTCGTTTCACCCGACATGAAAAGTGCCCGACTTTTAATATCCCTTGATACTATGTCGTCGCGGGAACCGACATTAAAAGTGCATTTTAACCCATATAAAAAGTGTTTTTTCCACCAGTGCACCCACTCACTCACAGATTGAAAACTTTTATTTGATGCTACTGAGTATCGCAATATGGTAGGTGCTCTTTAGTATTTGATTATAACTAGACCTGATATTACATATGTTGTTCATCTGATTTCCCAGTTTACGCATGCTCCCCGTACTATTCATTTATTGGATGTCAAGAGAATTTACGGCCTTACGGGTACTTACAGGGGACATCATTTATTGGATGTC